CGTTGAAGTGTTGCGGTATCTCCATATGGCGTTGGTGGAGGCCATTTTGGAGTAAACAAAACTCTCGAAAAGATCAAAGAAAGATTCTACTGGGACGGATGCCGAACCGATGTGGAGAATTGGTGCCATGCATGTACGGAATGTGCTGCCAGTAAATGACCTCGCAGCCGAAGTAAAGGACCAATGAGACAGTATCTGGTTGGGTCGCCATTAGAGAGAATTGCCATAGACATAGCAGGGTCGTTTCCAAGAACTAAATCTGGAAATAAGTTATGATGGACTACTTTAGCAAGTGGCCTACGGTATACCCAATTCCTAATCAAGAAGCCACCACCATAGCAGATGTGCTCTTCCAAAACTGGGTGTGTAATTTGGGCTGTCCTAGAGAGATCCATTTGGACCAAGGAAGAAATTTTGAATGGCATGGTAGAGCGATATAACAGAACTATAGATAACTATCTGAGAATTGTGGTCAACAATAAGCAAGATAATTGGGATACGCAACTTGCTGCATTCTTATTAGCCTATCGATCAGCAGTCCATGAATCCACTGGCAAATCTCCGGCATAAATCTTATTTGGCAGAGAATTGCGACTTCCCATTGATCTACTCACGGAAAGACCGGAAGATTTACAAATTGGCGAAGATTATGGACTCAAGCTAGCAGAACAAGCAATATTTTTATGTCTTCCTTGATTGCATTCTGAAAGCGGTTGACTTGTCTCTTCAGGCGTGGATGTTGCGTCCGCATGGCTCTGTCTTAGCCGGTTTTTCTCGCTGATTTTGACTTTTAACCAGGGAGAAATTTTGTTCATTTGGGCTATCGGAACTAAGAATAGACATGTTAAGGTTGCCAGGGCGTTTTTAATATCCCTGGTGAGTCTCACGACTGCCTGGTCCAGGTGTTCCTTTGTTGTGGGCTGATGGATCCTGCTGGTGCTTTCCAATGTTCTCTGGAAAGCCTGCGAGTTGGTGATCCTTCTAGTCGCAGTGAAGCTGTTGACGTTATTTGGTCCAATTTGCATGAGAATCGGCAAATGGTCCGAAGATAGTTCCTGGGGTTCCTTGGGGCTGGACAGCTCTTCCTGCGTTCCTGTACAGGAATATGTCCAAGATGTCATCTCTACCATTATGGGCGACGTGGGTTGGCTCTAGAGGTGCGGCTATCTCAAACATTGCATTTCTGGCTTTGTTCGATAGCATGATGCCTCTAGGAGTGTTGTGGTTGCATCCCCAATTGGTGTTTTTGGCATTGAAGTCCCCGCCATGTATCGCTGGCCTGTCATCTGAGAAAAGTTTGCGAACATCCTCAAGACTCAACGTGGCGCTTGGACTGACATATACGGACCCGACTCTGATCTCCATCTTCTCCATTTGGATGGCCACGATGGATTCCTCCAGACGTATAGACGATTTGACGATCTTGTGGTGCTGGATGGATCTCTTCACTGCGACTAGTGTGCCTCCGCCTCTGGTGGGCCTATCATCTCTGTGTATCTTATGGTTCGAAAGTGTGAACCTTTCTCCAGGCTTCAGTAGTGTTTCCTGGATTATGCACACATCCAAGTTGTGTTTCTTCAGGAAATCTTGAAGTTCTAATTTCTTGTTTCTGATTCTATTGGCGTTCCAGGAGATGACACACAGAGATTTAGGCCTCAGCAGTCTAGATATAAACTCCTCATTAGTGTAAGCATCTGAGCCTGCATCGTGGCCATGAACGTTTGCATCTGGATCTGCATCGCCTGTAGGGTATGTGCTATGTATCCGCTCACTGGTTGACGTTGATGGGCTTGCTGGGTGGCCGGCAGGTTCGTCTTGGCTGCTGCACTGTAGTCTGGTGGTTACAGCGGCAGCTTGTGGCTGTGGTGAGGTTGGCGGGCTTGTCCTGCGAGCTGCAAGGGGTTCCCGCCTTATCCGCAACATTGGTGTGGGCTTTGATGGGTAGCCTGAGTAGGAGGCTTGGTGAGCTCCTCCACAGTTGGCGCATCTTGCTGCCTGTTCCCGGGGAATATGGCATTTCCGGGATTCATGCGCTTCTCCACATTTTACGCATTTGCCAGCAGCTGTGCATTTGGACTGCCCATGTCCCAAAAGCCGGCACCTATAGCACTGGGTCGTCTGGCTCTTCGTATGCTGCGACTCCACTCTCACTCGCAGGTTTCCGAGTGCCCTCACTTCAAAAATTGATTTTTCGGTCTTGGGCAGCAGGACCAGGACCACTGCTATGGGCTGTCCATTTTTCCTCCATCTCGCAATTGTGGTAGGGTGGAAACCTAGCTCGGTTAACTCCACCCTAATTTTGGCCTCAGTCCACGATTCCAGCACTCCTCTAATTACCACTTGGAGGTGCTTTTCTTCTTCCAGCTGGTAGGTGTGATATTGGTACTTGTTGTCGAGTACCCTTATCATTGCCCTATAGTCTTCGTTGGTGGGAGGGTGCATTCTGACTCTATGTTTTGTAGTCACGCCACAACCGTAATTTATCATAAAGCACTTTTTTGCGCTAGAACAGTGTAACTATGCAAGTGTACGTGTCGATCGCTTCAAAGCAAGTCAGAGACTCTCACGAACTTGCAATTCGAAGTCTGCCACCTTGAATCATAGATAAAGACGAGTATAGATTACCAACTCTCTCGCACAATGTGGAAACAATGTCTATCCTACCGCCATCTATGATGGATCTAGACACAACTGCGCCACGTC